CCTCCAACCCCTGGCCAATGTACATAAATGGCTAGGCGGGAGCTTCCTTGTTCTGAGTGGACAGACCAGTATGTCCCTCAGAACGGGTGCTGCACGAGGCCCCGAGTCCACCCAGTAACACGATTCTGAGATGGCTGTGTCCCTCAAAGATAGCACATCAGAGGTCGGGATATTGGCTCACTGATTGGCCCTCCCTATCACATGATCGCTGTGTCCAATCACAGCCATCAGAGAATATGGCCAAGCAGGCCTACTTTGAGAAGTAGTACCAAGCAGGCCTACTTTGTTAACCTGATTAACACCCTCTCCACCTGCCCTCGCCGACTCTTCTCCACCTTCAACTCCCTGCTCTCTCCCCCCCCTCCTCTTATATATACCTCACTCACCGCCCACGAAATTGCCACTCATCTCCACAACAAGATTGACGCAATCCGCAAGGACATAGTGAACTTGCAATCTACCTCCCCATCTAGCCTCCCCCCTTCCATCACCCCCCTCATCTCTCCCCTCCTCCTGACCTCTGCAACGGCACTGCCCCCCCACCACACCCAAGGCCCTGCCTACCGTAACCCCCCCATCACTGCACTCCTTCAGCCCTACTACCACTGAGGAAGTCAGCAGAGTCTTCTCAGAAGCCCGCCTCACTACCTGCCCCCTGGACCCTATCCCCTCTCAACTCCTCCGGTCACCCCCCTCTTCCCTCATCCCGCTCCCTTACCCACATCTTTAATCTCTCCTCTCTCTACTGGCCGTCTTCCCCCCCCCCCCTAAAACATGCGCACATCACCCCCATACTCAAAAAGCCCTCCCTGGACCCCACTGACCCAAACAACCTCAGACCAATTTCCCTGCTGCCACTCACTTCCAAGCTCCTTGAGCGCTTGGTCTTCGATCGCCTAAGCGCCCACCTGACTGACAGCAACCTCCTTGACCCACTACAGTCCGGCTTCCGTCCCCTACACTCCACCGAAACTGCCCTCCTCAAAATCACCAACGATCTACTAACCGCCAAAGCCAAAGGCGACTACTCTGTCCTCCTCCTCCTAGACCTCTCCGCGGCCTTTGACACAGTTGACCACCCCCTCCTCCTTAATAAACTACTCTCCCTTGGCATCAGAGACACCGCTCTCTCCTGGTTCTCGTCCTATCTATCCCAACGCTCCTTCAGCGTTTCCTACAACGGTGCCACCTCCTCCTCACTCCCCCTCTCTGTTGGGGTCCCCCAGGGCTCTGTCCTTGGACCCCTTCTCTTCTCCATCTACACCTCCTCCCTTGGCAAACTCATACACTCCCACGGCTTCAACTCCACCTCTATGCCGATGATACTCAAATCTACCTATCCACCCCTCACCTCACCCCCACATTCTCCGCCCGCATCACTCACCTCCTAAACGACATCTCTGACTGGATGTCGCTCCATTTCCTCAAACTCACTCAACCTCTCCAAAACCGAGCTTCTCATCTTCCCCCCCAGCCCGCGCCCCCCCCCCCCCCATCCTTTCCATCACTACCAACAACACCACCATCAATCCCGCCCAGCAAGCCAGGGTCCTTGGCGTCATTCTGGACTCAAACCTTTCCTTTCAACCTCATATCAAATCTCTCACAAACACATGCAGGCTCCACCTCCGCAATATCGCCAAGATACGCTCCCTCCTTACCCCAGACACCACTAAACTACTAGTACACTCCCTGATTATCTCACGCCTGGACTACTGCAACTCCCTCCTCACCGGCCTACCCCAGTGCAGGCTCTCCCCGCTTCAGACCATCCTGAACTCAGCGGCCAGACTCATCCACCTCACCAGCCGCTCCACCTCTGCCACCCCCCTCTGCCTCTCCCTCCACTGGCTCCCCATTGCCCAACGCATTAAATTTAAATTGCTCACCCTGACCCCTTCACAACACTGCCCCTAACTACCTCACCGACCTGATTCCCAGGTACCACCCTACCCGTACCCTTCTCTCTTCACAGGACCTCCTTCTATCTTGCTCCCTGGTCTCCTCCTCCCACGCACGACTGCAAGACTTCTCCAGGTCCTCCCCCATCCTCTGGAACTCACTACCCCAATCCATCAGACTGTCACCTTCCCTCCTCACCTTCAGGCGCTCCCTGAAAACCCACCTCTTCAGGGAAGCCTACCCCACCCTCACCTAACAGCCGCTGCCCTGCCCTCCTCCTACCACTCCATCCCCCACAGCCGTTTCCTCCTGTGCCTCTACCCCCCTCCCTCCTAGATTGTACGCTCGAAAGAGTAGGGCCCTCTAACCCCTCGTGTGCTGTTTGATGTTACTGTTCTGTTTCATGTATTGTCCCCCCTCTATTGTACAGCGCTGAGCAAACCCTTTGGCGCTATATAAACTCAATAAATAAATAAATAAATAAATATATATAAACAGACACGTGTCTCTGTAGCAGTTTTTCCCATTGAGCTAAGTAGGATCTCAGTGCAGGTGGGGGGAGGGGGGATGGGCAGCCTGTGACAGCTGATCTCTGTGTAGGTGAGGATTTTATTGTTCAAATACAGAGATCACACAGAGTACACATGGCTCAAGCACCATCTGTCCCTGACCACAGTGCACACCAACGTCTGTCCCTGACCACAGTGCACACCAACGTCTGTCCCTGACCACAGTGCACACCAACGTCTGTCCCTGACCACAGTGCACACCAACATCTGTCCCTGTCCACAGTGCACACCAATATCTGTCCCTGTCCGCAGTGCACACCAACATCTGTCCCTGTCCGCAGCGCACACCATATCTGTCCCTGTCCACAGTGCACATCAACATCTGTCCCTGTTCACAGTGCACATCAACGTCTGTCCCTGTCCACAGTGCACATCAACGTCTGTCCCTGTCCACAGTGCACACCAACGTCTGTCCCTCTCCCACTGCACACCAACGTCTGTCCCTCTCCACTGCACACCAACATCTGTCCCTGTCTACAGTGCACATCAACATCTGTCCCTGTCCACAGTGCACACCAACATCTGTCCCTGTCCACAGTGCACACCAACATCTGTCCCTGTCCACAGTGCACACCAACGTCTGTCCCTGTCCACAGTGCACACCAACGTCTGTCCCTGTCCACAGTGCACATCAACATCTGTCCCTGTCCACAGTGCACATCAACATCTGTCCCTGTCCACAGTGCACACCGATGTCTGTCCCTTTCCACAATGCACATAAACATCTGTCAGTGTACCAGTGTCCCACCAACATCTGTCACAGTGTACAAGTGGTGGTGTAAACAGATGCTCTTAGGGCAGAGGAGACATGTGGGGTGATAGACCCCAGATCTCCATGTCACCGTATTAGTGATGTCACAAGTTGTTTACATTCTTAGTCACAGTAAAGTAATAAAAAGAAAATTAAAGAAACAGTGAAAAAAAATTACAAATGTAAAGCCCCCTGTCCCCCCTCTCCCCCATGCTAGCAAGCAAAGGTGAACACATGTGTTGTCTCATATGTATACGTAAACAGAGATCGCACCACACGTGTGACGTATTGCTGTGAACGTCACAACAAGAACAATAATTCTATCAGCGGAGCTCCTCCGTAACTCTGATCTGGTAACCTGTAAAGCCTTATAAAGTGTCCCTATGGAGATTTCTAATTACTGTAGTTTTGCACAAATACATATGTGTGTACAATCTTAAAGCGTGGCACGTTTGGTATCTCTTAAATGTGCAAAACCCACCATTTTATTCTCTAGGACCTCTGCTAAAAAAATGTAATGTTTGGGGGTTCTAAGTAATTTATACAAATACTGACTTTTACATGTAAACAAAAAGTATCGGAAAAAGGCCGGGTCTGAAAGTGGATAATGCCTGAAGGTGCTCCTTGGATGTTGGGCCTCTCTATACGGCTAAGCTGTCTCACACATGTGGTATCGCCATACTCAGGAGGAGTAGCAGAATGTGTTTTGGGGTGTAGTTGCAAGTGTGCCTATGCCAGGTGTGAGAAATAACTTGTTAATATGACAATTTTGTGAAAACAAATATTTTTTACTTTCTTCAGGATCCAAAGAATTGTGGGAAAAAATTACAGCTTCAAAAACTCATCATGCTTCTTACTAAAAACCTTGGAATGTCTACTTTCCAAAAAGGGGACATTTGGGGGATCTCTACTGTTCTGACATTTGGGGGGATTTGTACCGTTCTTACATTTGGGGGATTTGTACCGTCCTGACATTTGGGGGGATTTGTACTCTCCTGACATTTGGGCAGATTTGTACTCTCCTGACATTTGGGGGGATTTGTACCGTCCTGACATTTGGGGGGGAGACCAATCAGCTCCTGTCTAGTAATCCTCTTTGTCTTTGTATTTTAGTCCATGGCCGGGAGATGAGGAAAACCTCCGAGGATTGTGTCTCACTTTGTCTCCAGACTGGAAAGTAGAAGATGAGGACATCACACAGTATAGTCCAGGAGAAAACCCGGCTCCCTCCAATGTCCATCCGGCACCACCCAGTGTAGATGGACCATCGGATTCCTCGTATCCTGAGGAACCTCAGACTGTGCGGGACCGGGCCGGCCTTCCAACAGGGAAGAGGTTCTCCTGTACTGAGTGCGGGAAATGTTTCCATCATGAATACCGTCTTAATATGCATATAAGATCTCACACAGGAGAGAAGCCATATTCCTGTCCTGAGTGCGGGAAATGTTTTTCAGTGAAGTCCAGTCTTTACAGACATCAGAGATCTCACACAGGGGAGAAGCTATCTTCCTATCCTGAGTGTGGAAAATGTTTTCCAGAGAAGTCCAGTCTGCACAAACATCAGAAATCTCTCAAGGGGGAGAAGCCATTTTCCTGTCCTGAGTGCGGGAAAATGTTTTTCAGTGAAGTCTCATCTTTCCAGGCATCAGACATGTCACACAGGGGAAGCCGTATATTCCTGTCCTGAGTGTGGGAAATGTTTTTCACAAAAGTCCAGTCTTTTTAACATCAGAGATCTCACACACAGGGAGAAGCCGTATTCTTGGAGAAGCCGTATTCTTGTCCTGAGTGTGGGGAAATGTTTTTCACAGAAGTCCAGTCTGCACAAACATCAGAGATCTCACACGGGGGAGAAGCCATTTTCCTGTCCTGATTGCGGGAAATGTTTTTCACTGAAGTCCCATCTTTCCAGGCATCAGAGATCTCACACAGGGGAGAAGCCGTATTCTTGTCCTGAGTGCGGGAAATGTTTTTTCATTGAAGTCCTATCTTTACAGACACAGAGATCTCACACAGGGGAGAAGCCATATTCCTGTCTCTGAGTGCGGGAAATGTTTTTCAGAGAAGTCCAGGCTGCAGAAGCATCAGAGATCTCACACAGGGGAAAAGCCATATTCTTGTCCTGAGTGCGGGAAATGTTTTTCACAGAAGTCCAGTGTGCACAAACATCAGAGATCTCACACAGGGGAGAAGCCGTATTCTTGTCCTGAGTGCGGGAAATGTTTTTCACAGAAGTCCGGTCTTCACAAACATCAGAGATCCTCACACAGGGGAGAAGCCGTATTCTTGTCCTGAGTGCGGGAAATGTTTTTCACAGAAGTCAAGTCTTTACAGCCATCAGAGATCTCACATGGGGGAGAAACCGTATTCCTGTCCTGAGTGCGGGAAATGTTTTTCACAGAAGTCCAGTCTTCACACACATCAGAGATTGCACACGGGGGAGAAGCCATATTCCTGTCCTGAGTGTGGGAAATGTTTTTCACAGAAGTCCTATCTTTACACACATCAGAGATTGCACACAGGGGGAAAGTAGTCACTTTTCTGTTCTGAGTGCGGGAAATGTTTTGTAAAACAAGCAGATCTTGTCATGCATCAAAGGTCTCACAAAAGGAAAAAGCTGTATTCCTGTCCTGAGTGCTGGAAATGTTTTTTTTTTTTGAAAAGTCCAATCTTTACAAACATCAGAGATCACACAGGAGAGAAGAAGCCTTTTTCCTATCCTGAGTGAGGGAAATGTTCCTCACTGAAAGTCCTGTCTTCCTGTACATCAGGGGTCCCACACAACCCTGGAGGTGTATTAGTGCCTTGAGTGCGGGAAATGTCTTCTAGATGAATGTTGCTGGACATCCCAGCTCTCATGTGGGGAAGAAGCACACCCTGATATACACCTCAGATATACTCCATGGCTGATCTTCATCATGGAAGAAACAGTTCATAAGGAGATCAGAGGTCCCCAAAGACATGGATGAAGTGTGGGACCGGGTTGGCCTTTGATAGCAGGAGAAGAATAAAAATGGAGTCCTGCCCTGTGATTGGCTGAGTACATTTTGTGGTGGGAGATTTCACAAACACTTGGAGGTCTATGGAGAACAATGTTGAACGGATGTGACCGGCATTCTCCAGCTGGGAGGAGTTTTGGCCTTATTTTATTTCTTATGATCATTGGCTCCATCTAGTGGCCATAATATCATATTGGGCTAGTTTTACTGATGATGGAGAGATTTCAGAAAAATCACCTCATTGTGGCCACTAGATGGAGCCGGCGATCATAGGAAATCACTGTGTTACTTAACATAGGGCCGGATGTTGTCACAGCTGGAGGAATGATTGTCTCATTGGTCCAATGAATGTTCTATAAATAGAGCCCTCTGGTTTCCTTCATCAGACACGCCCCATACTAATCCCTGAGGTCACACTCCCGCACTCTGAGAGTCACACTCCCGCACCCTGAGGTCACACTCTCCCGACTCTGAGGTCACACTCCCGCACCCTGAGGAGGTCACACTCCCGCACTGAGGTCACACTCCCGCACTCTGAGGTCACACTCCCGCACTCTGAGGTCACACTCCCACACTCTGAGGTCACACTCCCGCACTCTGAGGTCACACTCCCGCACTCTGAGGTCACACTCCCGCACTCTGAGGTCACACTCCCGCACACTCTGAGGTCACACTCCCGCACTCTGAGGTCACACTCCCGCACCCTGAGGTCACACTCCCCTGAGGTCACACTCCTGCACACTCCTCGCACACCTGAGGTCACACTCCCGCACTCTGAGGTCACACTCCCGCACTCTGAGGTCACACTCCCGCACTTTGAGGTCACACTCCCGCACTCTGAGACCCATAAAACTTTATTTTGGTGGTATTTATTCATTATTCTGGAATTTTTTTTTTTTTTGCTATATAAATGAAAATGTCCAAAAATTTTTATAAAAAGTGTTTTTCCTTATAAAATTTTGCAAATAAATAATCTTTCTTCATAAATCGGCCAAAATGTATTCAGATATCTTTTTATTAAAAAAAAAAAACCAAATTAGTTTATAACCAAAAATATAATTTTTCAAAAAAAAATTACATTTTTTTTTTTTTTTTTATTATTTATTTTTTTTTTTTATACCCATAAAGGCTGTAAAATCAATAATTTCTCCTTCTTTCCGGCTGCATTCCTGCAGCCATTGAGAAATACTGTGAGAGCTGTGATTGGTCTCAGCTTGTCACATGGTACAAGTCTGTTGGGAATAGCCCTGTACCATGTGACCTCGGTGATCATTCACAGATTTCACTGATAGTAGCAATGATATCAGGAAGTGACATTCTAATTACTACTATTCATGTGATCACTTATTTCAGTTTCACTGGTCTTCCCAGTGAATGGCTGTGCAGGGGAGGGGGATGTCAGGACAAGTCTGATGATTGGAGGAGAGCAGAGACTGAGCTCCCAGCACAGTTAGAGAACTGACCACGCTGATCTCTCATGCCTAGTGTGGTCAGGTTTAATAGGAAATCAGAGGGACTGGCAGGATCACCGGGGATCTCACACAAAGGAAGCAATACAGAGAGAAGAGGAGACGTCTTCATACCAGGACATGGGACAGCCGGCACAGATCAGGAATAGGACATGTTGGAGGAACATATTCTTTGAAGGAGAAGTTCAGGCAAAGCTCTTTTGTCTGTACTTCTCCTGTGGATCAGAGGAGTGCAGTTCATTCTGAACTCCTGTGACCCGTTTTCAGGTGAAGCCCGCTGTCAGCTGACGTCACTCAGCCGGTCCAGTCTGGGGAAAGATCCCGACATCAGAGTCTGACCAGCTGCACCCTCCCCCTCCACAGCCCAGTGAGTCTGGGGGGGGGGCAGGGCAGAGAGCGGTGACTGACAGTCACACTCTCTCTCTGCTCAGAACGGCTGTGAGAACTCATGGTCAGCAATCACGTGATCGCTGAGTTCTCACACTTGGAGCCAGGCGGGGGATGGGTGCAGCACCACCTAGGGGCAAGGATGATTTTACAAAGTCAATAAATAAATGCCATACTTTTCTGGCCTTTAGATGGCGCTAAGTATCATAGAAATTAGAACCATCTTATTGCCAAATGTGGTATTCTCCATTTTATATCCATGGAAACCATTCACCCCGCCCAGCACAGAGCCTACTCCCTCTACTCCCCCCATCCCATTCACACAGAGGGAATGACAGGCACATTCACCGGGTGTATTGCTGTGCAATTGTTTTATGAACAGACTCCTAGATGATTACACCCTCGATTGCAGCGGCGCTCGTGCATGCGCGATCGCTGGACACGAGCCTGGCACCAATCAGGGCGCTGTGTTTTTTAAAACAGGTCAGGACTGTGCTTAGTTGCCGTATGGTCTTACCTGTATCCTGAGTTCCTGTATTGTAGATTGTCTTGTTGCTGACCCAGCCTGACCCTGATTTGCTGTCCGTCTCCTGTTCTGATCCCTGGCTTGTCTGACCATTCTCCTGCTTAACCCTGCACGTTCTGATCTCCTGTTACCGAACCCGGCTTGTGACCTGTTTACCCCTCTGCCTGCTGATTTTGTACTACGCCGCCACCACTGTTACCAACCCGGCCTGCCCGACACTGCTCCTGTTACCTCCTCACATCAGGGTCTCACCTGCTACACACCTCCAGCGGTGCTTCTACCGCAGCTGGGTGAACCCAGGGGCCGCGACCTGGTCTCGGCCTGCTCCAAGTCCATCCCCACCATCAGGGGCCCTTGTGAACAAGCAGGTTGGGACTTAGATTCCGCGCCTTGGGGGATTCCGGTCTGTGGAGCTCTAGAGGCTACAACTGGTAGGCTCCCTAACAGAACCATACGGCCATGACAGAGTCTGGAGGAGGACCTTCACCCTGGGAAGAGATGTGCTAACATCTGGCGGCACTCACACGAGCTGTGAAAACACTGGAAGAGGGATACAAACACCTGGAGGGACACGTTCAGAGCTTGGCCGCACCGGCACCCGCAACTTCAAGCGCAGTGGGGATGCCTCCTGCCACGGGTTCAGCAGGGCCTTCCACTGGTGCAGCATTTTCCATTCCTCCGCCAGAACCAAGAGTACCAACCCTTGAGCGGTTCAATGGGGACCAAGGGAAGTTCAGGGCCTTCCAGAACTCCTGCCAGCTGTACTTTGACCTGCAACCCCAGAACTTCTCTTCTGAATTGGTGAAGGTGGGATTTGTTATATCCCTGCTGCAGGGTGAACCTCAGGGATGCGCTCATCGCCTGATGGAGGCCCACCACCCACATTTGAGCACTGTAGCCACCTTCTTCAAGGCAATGGCACAGCTGTACGACGACCCGCATCGAGCTGCTTTGGCTGAGGCAGCCCTCTACTCCCTACAACAGGGACGCCGGGCTGCGGAGGATTATGCTGCTGAGTTTAGGCGTTGGAGTGGAGACACTCAATGGAACGACGCAGCCTTACGCCACCAATTTCGGTTGGGATTGTCGGAACCGCTAAAGGACGAGTTGGCAAGAATAGGAGTCCCTGACTCCTTGGAAGGCCTAATAGACCGGGCCATTCAAATCGATCGCAGATTGCGGGAAAGGAGACAGGAGAGGTCCAGCCAGGGGCAAAGAACCTCATGGATGCTGCCAAGGGTGCCAGTCATACCAAGGCTCAGTGTTGGCAATCGGAGTCAAGAGCCATCAGAGGGGGTTGAGCCCATGCAGCTCGGCTTGATGCGGCCTTCCCTTTCTGCAGAGGAATGACAAAGGACTTGAACCAACAATCTGTGTCTGTACTGCAGAGCAGCGGGTCACATGGTGCGATCCTGTCCTGAGAAATACTGTAAGTCCCCTTCTATGTTTTCTACTATATCTACTGTGTGCACAGGCAACCCCACTCACTTGGCTGTACTTGTGTCTCTTCAGCTCCCCGAAGGAAGCATACAGGTGACGGCTATTATTGATTCCGGGGCATGTAGCTGCTTTGTCGATCTCGGTTTTGCTACCCAGCATCAGATACCGTTACTCGCCAAAGAGCTTGGTCTGAATATTTTCTTGGCGGATGGGTCTCAAATAAAATCGGGGATGGTAGATCGGGAGACCCCTCCTATACACACCACGGTGGTGGGGGGCATCATCAGGAGCTCCTCCATTTGGACGCCATTGTATCCCCCCTATTTCCAGTTATTTTGGGGCTTCCTTGGCTAAGAGCTCACGAACCCCAAATTGACTGGAAGGCCGGGTCAGTCTAGTTCCCCTCACGATACTGTCAGGAACATTGTTTATCTAGGTTATCACTAGATACACCGGCCCTATTAGCTGTGAGCCCTGATGCCGAGTTAGCCCAAATTGTGCCTGTGGCCTATCATCAATTCCTTGATGTGTTTAGTCTACGGGGGGCAGAGATTCTTCCCCCACATCGGGCATATGATTGTCCCATTGATCTGCTCCCAGGTTCTGAAATCCCTTTCGGCCGCATTTTTTCCACTGTAAGAACGGGAGCTAGGGGCACTGAAGGAATACATTGATGAGAGCCTCCGGAAGGGATTTATTCGCCCTTCCACATCACCGGCCGGGGCAGGGATTTTGTTTGTCGAGAAAAAGGACCGATCACTGAGACCTTGTGTCGACTACAGGGACCTCAATAAAATTACGGTCAAAAACCGCTATCCCCTTCCTTTGGTCCCAGAGTTGTTCCAGAGGTTGAAGACGGCATCCATCTTTTCTAAACTTGGTCTCAGGGGTGCCTATAACCTGGTACATATACGTGAGGGGGACGAGTGGAAAACGGCTTTTTCACACTCGGTTCGGGCATTTTGAGTGTCTAGTTATGCCTTTCGGGTTATGTAATGCGCCAGCCACCTTCCAGCACTTTGTCAATTAGATTTTCAGGGACTTCCTTGACATTTTTGTAATCGTCTACCTGGACGACATTTTGATATTTTCCTCGTCTTTGGAGGCACATCGGGGACATGTCAGGAGCGTGCTGGAATGTCTCCGTCAGCATGGACTCTACGCTAAAGCCGAGAAATGCTGTTTTGAGCAAGAAAGTATCTCATTTCTAGGTCTAATTATTTCCACCACAGGGATCGCTATGGACCCTCAGAAAATCTCGGCCATCTTGGAATGGTCTGCCCCCACAGATAAGAAGGGAGTTCAGAGGTTTATTGGGTTCACCAACTTTTATAGAAAGTTTATAAAGAACTTTTCAGGCCTGGTAGTGCCCATCACCCAGCTCACCAAGGTGGGGGTTCATTTCCAATGGACCCCAGCAGCACAGGCTGCTTTTGAGGCATTGAAAAAGCTGTTCACAACGGCTCCCATTCTGAGCCATCCTCATGCATCATTGCCCTACATACTAGAGGTCGAAGCATCAGAAGTGGCTGTAGGAGCAGTGTTCTCACAGAGAGTAGGGGCCAAGGAGCTGATGCATCCAGTGGATTTCTTTTCTAGAAAGCTCTCCCCTTTGGAAAGGAACTATGACATCGGAGATTGGGAATTATTGGACATTAAGGCAGCTCTGGAGGAATGGCGATATCTGCTAGAGGGAGCCCTACATCCCATTTTTGTCTACACTGACCATAAAAACCTCTAGTACCTGAAAACAGCTAGACGCCTCCGTCCACGCCAGGCCAGATGGGCACTGTTCTTTGCAAAGTTTAGTCTCCATATTACCTATCGTCCTGGGTCAAAAAATACTAAGCCAGATGCTCTTTCCTAGATGTTTGAGGACCCTAGAGAGACACCCCAGCCAGATACCGTCCTGCCAGCAGGTAGCTTCCTATTGCTTCAATCTGAGCTGTTGTCTAAACTGCAGGCTGCCTCCACCTGGGTTCCTGACCTGCCTGGGATCTCACTACAAAACAAAGAAGGTCTTTTCTGGAGGGGGGAACAGATCCTGGTACCCAAGGAGGTCCAGTCCCTGCTGTTAGACTATTGCCATGACCATCCCCTAGCGGGCACTTTGGGATACATAAGACTATAGAATTGGCACGACGCACATTTTGGTGGCCATATATGGCCAAGGTTTGTGAAGCGTACGTGAGATCTTGCCCCATCTGCAACCGGAATAAACCTACCAGAGACAAGGCCTGCGGCCTGTTGAGACCTTTACCAATACCTTACCGACCCTGGAGTATGATCTCCTTAGACTTTATTGTAGAATTGCCACCCTCGCAAGATCACACCGTGATCTTTGTAGTAGTGGATCGCCTCTCTAAAATGGCCCATTTCCTTCCACTAGCAAAGACACCATCTGCCTCCGAAACAGCCCAAGTGTTCATTAGAGAGATTGTGAGGCTTCACGGAGGCCAAAAGAGATGGTCTCGGACCGGGGAGTGCAATTTACATCCAGATTCTGGAAAGCGTTATGTGAGGGGTTGGAGATTAAGTTATCTTTTTCGTCTGCATATCACCCACAGACTAACGGGCAGACAGAGCGAACTAATCAGACGCGCTCGAGCAATATCTGAGATGTTATACATCATTCCTACAGGACGACTGGCTGACACTTCTACCAATGGCAGAATTCGCAAATAATAATGCGAATCATTCCACCACCAACCAATCCCCATTCTTCGCCAACTATGGGTTCCACCCTACCTTCCTGCCAGGCCTGGTTCCAGAGAACTCAGTCCCTGCAGCCCAGGACACCTTAGAATTCTTTACTACCAATAACAAGTTATCACGGGAAACAATGGCTAAGGCTCAGGAAGCTAGTAAAAAGTTCTGTGACAGGAGGAGAAAGGAAGAATTGGTCATACACCCCGGGGATCGGGTTTGGTTGTTAACAGCCAACCTAAAACTGACATGTCCATCTAGGAAATTGGCACCCAAATTTGTGGGACCCTTCCAAGTAGAACGCAAGGTTAATGAAGTGGCATTTAAACTGGCTCTCCCCGAATCCCTCAAGATACATCCAGTCTTCCACGTGTCATTGCTAAAACCTGCAGTTCCAGACCCCTTTTTAGACCGCAGGTCTAGACCTCCAGAGGCAATAGATATAAACGGGGAGGAGGAATTCGAGGTAGAGGCAATTTTGGATTGTAGGAGGAGGGGTGGTCAGGTGCAATACCTGATCAAGTGGAAAGGCTATGGGCCGGAGGAGAATTCGTGGGAACCTGCCCAGAATGTCCATGCCCCCAGATTAAAAGTGGGAATTCCTTTGTAACCAGCCCCAAAGGAGGAATCGGGTGGGCATCCGTAGGCTGCCCATAAGGGGGGGGGCAATGTCAGGGACCCCAGAGCCGGCCGTGATCACGCACGAGTCTGCGCATGCGCGGTGTGCCTGACCACACTATCGTGCGAGCATTGGGACCAGGGTACCCGCGATTGCAGCGGCACTCGCGCATGCGCACTCACGATCGCGGACGTGAGCCTGGCACCAATCAGGGTGCAGGGCGCCCTATTTAAAACAGGTTAGGACTGTGCTTAGTTGCCGTATGGTCTTACCTGTATCCTGAGTTCCTGCATTGTAGATTGTCTTGTTGCTGACCCTGCTTGACCCTGATTTGCTGTCTGTCTCCTGTTCTGATCCCTGGCTTGTCTGACCATTATCCTGCTTAACCTGCACGTTCTGATCTCCTGTTACCAAACCCGGCTTGTGACCTGTTTACCCCTCTGCCTGCTGATTTTGTACCACGCCGCCACCACTGTTACCGACCCGGCCTACCCGACGCTGCTCGTTACCTCCTTACATCAGGCTCTCACCTGCTACACACCTCCAGTGGTGCTTCTACCACAGCTGGGTGAACCTAGGGGTCGCAACCTGGTCTCGGCCTGCTCCAAGTCCACCATCAGGGGCCCTGGTGAATAAGCAGGTTGGGACTTAGATTCCGCGCCTTGGGGGATTCCAGTCTGTGGAGCGCTAGAGGCTACAGCTGGTAGGATCCCTAACACCATCAGTCCCCAGCCTACAGTCTAAGGTCCCTAACATTCATACATACACATACTAGGGGCCAATATAGACAGGAGCAAATTACCTTCCAGCATGTCTTTGGAGTGTGGGAGGAAACTGGAGTACCTGGAGGAAACCCACGCAGGCACAGGGAGAACATGCAAACTCCAGGCAGATAGGGAAGTGGTTGGAATTCAAATCAATGACATTAGAGCTGCTAAGAGGAAGTGCTAACCACTGAGCCACTGTGCTGCAGAATATGTTTCTATAAAGGTGGGAAGTATGTAGCAGTGAATAGACCTCCCAGCAATGTTATTACCAGGCTGCAGCTAGGGGGAGCTCTAATGTGTACAGTGTGACCCCAGCAGAGTGATCCCATCTAGCCCACATTAACCCTCTCACTGCCAGATCTGTTTCTGCATTATTATGCACACTTGGGAAAATGCAGATTTTGGGCCTGAAGATGAGATAAACTCCTATTTTGTTACAATAATTTCCCACCAGCTGGACATTTTATATCGGATGATGTGATTGGAGCACAGACTTTTACATGGTGATAATAATATGATAACATCCTCCAACTTTGGACCCTTAAACAGAAAGTGATAATGAGGGAGGAGTCAATACCCCAATGATGGTGGTCTTCAGGATCAGTCCAGTCTTCATCTTGGTTGTTCTCCCCCCCATCCTCACTCTCTGACCTCTGGTGGGGCTCAGCCCCGCTGTTCTTCATGACTAAATCATGGACTAAATAAGGAAGTGCAGTACTTCTTGTGTTGGGAAGATGGCGATGAGTGATAGAGGGGGTGGGGACCCTCGTCCTATAATCCCCTCATCACTGTCCCTCCTATAAAAGACAGTTCTGGTTGTTTCCTCACTCTCTGACTAAGGTCCATGAATAAAGAAATTACCTGGTAGGAGATCAGAGGAGCCATTTCCTAATTCCCTTGTTGGTGGAATTGTAAGCTCCTCAGAGACCAAGCTGCCTGATGTGGGCGGAGTCCTGATTTGGGGGAACCAATCAGCTCCTGTCTAGTGATCCTCTTTGTATTTTAGTCCATGGCCGGGAGATGAGGAAAACCTCCGAGGATTGTCTCACTTTGTCTCCAGACTGGAAAGTAGAAGATGAGGACATCACACAGTATAGTCCAGGAGAAAACCCGGCTCCCTCCAATGTCCATCCGGCACCACCCAGTGTAGATGGACCATCGGATTCCTCGTATCCTGACGAACCTCAGACTGTGCGGGATCGGACCGACCTTCCAACGAGGAAGAGCATCTCCTGTACTGAGTGCGGGAAGAGGTTTCTGTTCTAACTCCAAACTTACTGTGCATAGAAGATCTCACACGTGAGAATCTGTATTCCTGTTCTGAGTGTGGGAAATGTTTTGTAGAAATGTCAGATCTTGTCATACATCAGAGATCTCACACGGGGGAGAAGCTGTATTCCTGTCCGGAGTGTTGGAAATCTTTTTCAGTGAAGTCTAATCTTTATAAACATCAGAGATCTCACACGGGGGAGAAGCAGTTTTCCTGTCCTGAATGCTGGAAATGTTTTTCACAGAAGTCCTATCTTTACACACATCAGAGATCTTACACGGGGGAGAAGCCACATTCTTGTCCTGAGTGCTTGAAATGTTTTTCAGACAATTCCCATCTTTACAGACATCATAGGCTGCACACGCAGGGAGAAGCCGCATTTCTGTCCTGAGTATGGGAAATCTTTTTCAGGGAAGTCCCATCTTGACACACATCAGAGACTGCACACGTGAGAGAAGCCTTATTCCTGTTCTGAATGCAGGAAATGTTTTTCTGATAAATCCAATCTTTACAAACATCAGAGATCTCACACGGGGGAGAAACCGTATATCTGCCCTGAGTGTGGGAAATGTTTTTCAGTGAAGTCCAATCTTAAGAGACATCAGGGATCTCACACGGGGAGAAACCACGTTCCTGTCCTGAGTGAGGGAAATGTTCCTCACTGAAGTCCTGTCTTCCTGTACATCAGGGATCCCACACAACCCTGGAGGTGTATTAGTGCCTTGAGTGCGGGAAATGTCTTCTAGATGAATGTTGCTGGACATCCCAGCTCTCATGTGGGGAAGAAGCACACCCTGATATACACCTCAGATATACTCCATGGCTGATCTTCATCATGGAGGAAACAGTCCATAAGGAGATCAGAGGTCCCCAAAGACATGGATGAAGTGTGGGACCGGGTTGGCCATTGATGACAGGAGAAGAATAAAAATGGAGTCCTGCCTTGTGATTGGCTGAGTACATTTTGTGGTGGGAGATTTCACAAACACTTGGAGGTCTATGGAGAACAATGTTGAACTGATGTGACCCACATTCTCCAGCTGGGAGGAGTTTTGGCCGTATTAGGTCTATTTTTAAACAAATTATTGGAAAATGTGAGTAGTATTTGTCCAGCAGTGATGAATATCGGTTGTATTGTATTTCATCCAGTGATGACATTAAGTATCATAAGAATTCGCTCATCTAGAAACTGAAAGCAGTTTTTTTTTTTTTTAAATCATTATAAACGATTTGACCAACTCAGTAAACAGCCTAATAGCATTTGTGTTTTACCCCCATTCCCAGAGACGGAACATACACGGGCCATCACCGGGGGAATTGCTGGGAAAATCTGTTATGAGGAGACCCCTAAATGTCAGAAGACTTTCATTTAAGGAGTGGAAGTACACTATATTGCCCCAAGTATTGGGCCGGCCCTCCAATCATGTGATTCAGGTGTTCCAATCCCCTCCAATCATGTGATTCAGGTGCTCCAATCCCCTCCATGGACACAGGTGTATACAATCAAGCCCCTAGGCATGCAGACTGCTTCTACAAACATTGGTGAAAGAATGGGTCGCTCTCAGGAGCTCAGTGACTCCAAGCGTGGTCCCGTGATAGGTTGTCACCTGTGCAATAAGTCCATCCGTGACATTTCCTGGCTACTAAATATTCCACGGTCAACTGTTAGTGGGATTATAACAAAGTGGAAGCAACTGGGAACAACAGCAACTTAGCCACCAAGTGGTAGGCCATGAAACATGACAGAGTGGGGTCAGCGCATGCTGAAGCGCACAGTGCGCAGAAGTCACCGACAATAGCTAAAGAGTCAATAGCTAAAGACCTCCAAACTTGGTGTGGCCTTCAGATTAGCACAACAACAATGCGTAGAGAGCTTCATGGAATGGTTTTCCATGGCCGAGCAGCTGCATCCAAGCCTTCCATCACCAAGTGCAATGCAAAGCGTTGGATGCCATGGCGTAAAGCATGCCGCCACTGGGCTCTAGAGCAGTGGAGGCGTGTTCTCTGGAGTGACCAATCACACTTCTCTGTCTGGCAATCCGTTGGGCATGTCTGGGTTTGGCGGTTGGCAGGAGAACGGTACTTGCCTGACTGCATTGTGCCAAATGTAAGGTTTGGTGCAAGGTAATTATGGTGGGGGGTTGTTTTTCAGGGGTTGGCTTGGCCCCCTAGTTCCAGTGAAGGGAACTCTTAAGGTGACAGCATACCAAGATATTTTGGACAATTTCATGCCTCCAACTTAGTGGGAAGAGTTTGGGGATGGCCACTTCCTGTTCCAACATGACTGCGCACCAGTGTACAAAGCAAGGTCCATAAAGACCTTTGTCTAAACCTTTTATAGATTTAAATTAAATTAGATTTAACCTTTTAAAGGTTTTTTCTAAACCTTTGTGATCAGTACTGCTTGGACCTGAAGAAGGGGACACTCCCCAAAAGCTTGTCCTCAAAATTTTTAGTGCAATTAAAAAAAGTATCACAGACAGTACTCAATTGTTTCTGTCACAAATGCACTAATATGGCTACAATCACCTCAAGCATGATAGAAAAGACAGATCTCATTCTGATAGCACCATTCTGGTCAAAGATGCTTTGATTTTCTCTGCTGCAGAGCCTTATCTCAGCTCCCCCATTCCCACTTCCAGAGAAGGAGGATCTGATCTCTCAAGGTCCTGTTCTACATCCTCATATCAGAACCTTGAAGTTGGCTGCATGGTTTCTGAAGAGCAACTCCTCAAAGCTCAGGGGTTTTCAGACACCATAATAAAAACTTTGGTAAACTGCCGTAAACCAGTAACCAGAGCTATTTATGCGAAGGTCTGGAAGAAATTCAACTCCTGGTTGTTAAGTAAACGGCGGGGCCTTCCAGATATTCCGGCAGTTTTAGATTTCTTTCAGGAAGGGGCAGATCAGGGGCTCTCAGCATTGGCCCTCAATATTTTTCTTCAGGTCCCCCTGCAGCAGGATCCCTTTGTAATAGATTTTTTCAGGTCTCTCTCCAAGTCCACACCAGTAAAGGTCACGTCTTGCCCAGTTTGGGATCTGTCCCTAGTCCTAAGGGCCTTGGTCTTCTGTCCCTTTGATCCTCTGGAAAAATCTATAAAATTTCTGACTTTAAAAACCATTTTTTTGGTAGCAATCACGTCAACCCGTAGGGTAAGTGAGCTACAGGCACTCTCCATTAGGGAGCCCTATCTGACTGTTTTTGAAGACAGGGTTGTGCTCAAAACAGATCCAGGGTTTCTCCCTAAAGTGTCCTCCTTTCATAGGTCTCAGGATATAGTCCTACCGACCTTCTGTTCTTCTCCCGGCAGTAGGAAGGAAGAAAGATTGAATTTGCTTGATGTGAAAAGAAGCCTTATGGTCTATCTTAGTAGATGCCGAGAATTTAGGAATTCAGATTCTCTTTGTGCTTTTTGCAGGAGCACGGAAAGGTTCCAGAGCATCTAAATCCACCATAGCTAGATGGATTAGGTTAACTATCACAAAATCTTATAAAACATTACAGATTCCTCCCCCGTTTGTTAATGCACACTCAACCAGATCCTTATCAGCATCCTGGGAAGAGAGAGCCAATGCTTCCGAGGAGATATGTAAGGTGGCCACCTGGTCCAGGTTCTCTACCTTTGTGAAGCATTATCGCCTGGATCTCCTATCAAGTAAGGAGAAGGCATTTGGGCGCAAGGTCCTCTATGCAGTGGCCCCACCCTAGGGGGTAAGTTCTTGATTATCATCTCAAGGGGATGTCCTGTAAGACGCTGAGAGAAAACCAGAGTTAAGCTTACCGGTAACTCCTTTTCTATGAGTTTTCCAGAACAGCTGTGATTTCCCCCCCTAACAATGTACAAGTAATGTATCTTTGGTTACTTAAGTGTTTATGTCTTTCAGTATCTTCTGGTAGTTCTCAGGTAAAACTGAGGATGGATGCCTGGAGGTCCACCTTTAAGGCGTTGGGATTACGTGTTTCCTGACCCAGAGAGAGGAACTCTACGTCTCAAGGGGCTGTCCTGGAAGACTGGAAAAGGAGTTACTGGTAAGCCTAACTCTGGTTTTTCCAGCCTTATGGTGTCAGTGGGCATACTGGACTGACTATTGCAGCCAAATTAGGGAGACTTCCTGCAGGTCTTTACAGTCATATTTTGCGTTTTGTTGACCTAAATGAGGTTTCCTCCTTTTTTTCTTGTTTTTACTGGTAAAGCCTAACTCCTGGTTTTTCCAAGCCTTATGGTGTCAGTGGGCATACTGGACTGACTATTGCAGCCAAAAAGGTTTTGAGAGACAGAAGTATCTAAACCTTTTGTTGTTTCTGCTCTTTTGAAGGCTAGGAATTCTAAATTAGGGAGACTTCCTGCAGGTCTTTACAGTCATATTTTGCGTTTTGTTGACCTAAGAGGTTTCCTCCTTGTTTTGGTCCGTGTCTTGGTTTCCTTCTTGGGATGGGGGGTGAATGTGTTCCTGGCCTTGTGTATAATCAAGAGTCAGATTTCAGCCTTGGCAGTCTCTTCTTTCAGTGGCTGATTGCATTTACACTTTCTAGTTGCATGCGTTGGTACTAGATGTCATGCATGTTGTTCCTCCGGTCAGCCTGTCATTGTTTCTATGGGATCTCTTTCTGTTTTTACAGAATTCTCTGTTTGAGCCCATTCAGGATCCTTTTGTTCCTTTTGTTCTTTGACAAAGATGGCTTTTTTACCTTAGATTTTTATTTATTATTTTTTTACCTAAAGGGGTTTGTCCTTTTGTCAGCCGGGACTATTACCTTCCTTTACCCTCATCTCAGCCGGGACAGCGTATTACCTCCCTTTAGCGTATTACCTTCCTTTACCCTCATTTCAGCCGGGACAGCGTATTACCTCCTTTACCCTCATCTCAGCCGGGACAGCGTATTACCTTCCTTTACCCTCATCTCAGCCGGGACAGCGTATTACCTTCCTTTACCCTCATCTCAGCCGGGACAGCGTATTACCTTCCTTTACCCTCATCTCAGCCGGGACAGCGTATTACCTTCCTTTACCCTCATCTCAGCCAGGACAGCGTATTACCTCCCTTTACCCTCATCTCAGCCGGACAGCGTATTACCTTCCTTTACCCTCATCTCAGCCGCACACCTTGGGACCATTTGTCCACATCACTTACATGACTTGATACTCGGGAACCTGCAACAGTGATAGTCATGGTCCTGGCCTGATCACCTAAAAACCGGAATAGAAGGTATACCCGCAGCTTCCATGTCCACAGTTTCCTAACGACCGCTAGACTTTGTCGGAGCAGGTGTCTGAAGTCCAGCGTTTCCATTATGAAAAAGGAACAGGTTTCCTCCTGTTATACGAGTCGCGCGTGGGTGGAGCCACGTACCTTTCCAATTCAGTGTATCATGTTGGTGAAGCTCTACCT